CTGAGCAGCTGCTAAAGCCACGAACAGCCTCTCTGACAATCTTCACGGCCTCTTTCACTGGACTAAATTTCTAAGAATGTTCTCGGATGCCGAAATAAATCAATGCCTAACACAGCACCAAGCCAGCTCATGCAATATAGGTTAAATAGTGCCATATGGCAGAGACAGACACATGTTGCCCTTTTCTGAAACAAAGGAAAAATTCCTAAACAAATATCCTTTACTTTCTTCAGTGTGAGAAGAGCTGAAGGCGAGATGGTTTGTCAAGTGTTAGTAAATAATGCTGAAGGAAATTTTTTAATTCTTAGCCATCAAGAAAAATCTGCAGAGTTTTCACACAGGACCTCAATTTTTAAGAGTCTCCATTTAACACGTCCTGAAAGCTAACACCACATTTAGCCTGTGCTCACCATCCCCTAAATGAGCAAGAAAATAACAGGACAGCTGTATCCGAGGGCCGAGCTGACATCAGCAATTCCCCGGGGGAGCCAGAATCGGTGCGAGACAAGTCTACCTGCTTTTGAAGGAATAAAACACCAGATTAATTCTGTCTTGAAAACAAAATAAAATCAATATTTCATCCTGTTTTCACCACACTGGTGAGGAACCATCTGAATTTCACAATCATATAAAATACCTCTCAAAGTAAATTTTGAAAACATAACAACTTGATTAAATTTCTGACCAAAAAAAAAAAAAACCCAGAAAGAAAACCTACCAGAATGAACATATATTTGAAACAAACAGTAAAATGCATCTAAATTCGATATAGTTGCTTTTTAAGTAATTTATTTTTTTCTATTCTCCTGTATGGTGTTTTACTCATTATATTACATATATTTACATGTTTGCCTTCTAAAAATAGTTGCATTTCTAATTACTCCTGCTTTGTAATTTTCAGTACCATTTGAATTCAAGACTAAATGCCAGATCTTTTTTGGAAAACTACTTTTAAGGAATGTTGAGAGCCACAAAATTATATTTCTTTACAATTCGACGTATGCCACTGGAAAACACTGCATTCTGGACATAAATATGACAGCCAGCTCCAGCTCTGGAAAGAAAAGCTTCAGCTGTTCAGATCACGTGCAGCCAGATGCAAGGGATAAAGAAGACAGAGAACCGACAGTTGCAACTGCTAATTTTTACCAATACGTCTAAAATACACTCACTATACCTTAGCAGAGAGCATAAATTCCAACTGCAAGCAATGCACTTATAGCGCCTGTATACACATCCACCCTATAGCTATTTAGCTCACAACCCTAAAACAGTCCTCTTTTGAAAAAAATTAATTTTAAAATAAAGATGCTTTTTAAAGAACTGGATGGGGAAGCACTTTAAATTCATAAAGAAAGGTTTTCTTCATTCTTCCCTTAAGGTTAATTTTATTAATTCTTCACAAATAAACATTTGATGTGACAACTTGCCAATATTCCTGAAAACTGGAAGACATTCACAGCTAGAGTCCAATGATTAAGAGGACTCGCCCCCCGCCCCCCAACCCTGGGCTGGCCCAGTGGCATAGTGGTTGAGTCTGTGCACTCTGCTTCGGCGGCCCAGGATTCACGGGTCCAGATCCCAGGCGTGGACCTACACATGCTTGTCAAGCCATGCTGTGGCGGCATCCCACATGCAAAATAAAGGAAGACTGGCACAGATGTTAACTCAGCGACAATCTTCCTCAAGCAAAAAGAGGAAGACTGGCAACACATGTTAGCTCAGGGCCAATCTTCCTCACCAAAAAACCCCCAAAAGTCCCCCATCTGGTGAGAGAGGTGGGAGAGGTGGGGGGATCTCAACTCACTAGGGCAGAGGTCACCCCTCCAAAGAGAACCCACCACCCCAACCCCAAACCCACTTGTTCCCGGGACCAGGGAGAACGGAGGCCAAGGCTTGAATCTGAAAAATGCTGTCACTCTTGTGGCCCCGAGAGTGATCTTCAAACCCTCAACAGGCTGCTGCCAGCATACTGTGGGCCAGCGGGTAGAAAGGTTGGGGTAACAGCCCCAGGGGAGGACAGGAGGCAGCGGAGGGCCACCGTCACCGTGGGCTGGCTCGTGCCACCAGTTAATGCCAGGCGGAAGGCAGCGTCGAAGTGCTGCTACAGAAACTCCTAACGTGAATGGCCGCCACGGATGCCTATCTGCAGCCCACGTTTCCATCTGCCTTCGGGAAGCTCCACCCTGCCGCCTGTCTCTACAACGCACACAGGATGGATTATACCGCCACCTCAACAGACTTCAGAACAAATCGAGATCCCGCAGCGCCCATCCCTGGAAAAGCGCAAAGCCAAATGAGATGCAGCTTCCCACCAACAGAGGAAGCGTCCGGGAGCTAAGACAGAAATACCATTAACTCTCCATGTGCAGACAGCAAGAACCCTGGGAGTGAAGGTCAAAGGCGCCAAGTGGTCAGCAAGCCAAGCAGGTCCTTGTGCTGGGTGCTAGTAAAGCAGTCAGTGCTTGCACAGTGCGGGGGCCGCCATGCCCCGGGAGAGCCGGGGTGGCACACAGGTGGCTGGGTCAGCGCGGTGCACAGGCCCACCTGGAACCTCTGGACTGTGTTCAGTAAGATCCCACTTAATTACACTTTTTCCACAGCCTCCAGAATTTTGAGGGGGAGGGGTTAGGGCAGCAAAGAGATGTATTTTTGAAAAAACTAATTGACTGTGCCAGGAGAACTCTATCTAAGCCCTAAAATGTATAAACACTACACTATAAGCAGGTGAGACATCTGCTTTGAAGAAGGAATGTTCCTTCTACAGGCAAATGTTTATACAGCAGAGATTGAATCAAATTTAATTTTCTTCCATTACTTTTATCCCTTCTGCTTCAATCTGTGCCTATCACTGAGGAAGCTGACATGTCCCCAGCTCAGTGTGACTATCAACGACCAACGAAAAAGTTGTTGTTTCCAGACATTTAACAGAGATGCTTCGCTTCATCAGAAATCTAGTTACATCAGCAAAATACCACTTTTAATTATTTAACACATGCCCTTTTCACCAATGTTGAAAATGGAATAAAAACCAAAATAGTGTAATGTCTTGAACATTGAAAACAAGCATATTACAAAAGGAAGGCGCACACGTTCAGACAGGCTCCTTCCTGCTGAACGTAATCAGCTTATATTTCAGTTTCCTATTTCTGTGGCATTAAGGTATAATGCAGTTGAAACTCTAAACACAATCTCCAGAGAGACTTCCAGCCACTCCCACAAAATTCTTTTTTAAAAGATTCCTTCTGGTAAATTATGAATAAGACCAATACGTATTCTGGAAAATGAATAAATAAAAATCCACAACAACCCAATAAACTGAGTACTGGTTTTTCAAGACAATCCATGACGAAACTCTGCTTCAGTTCCTAGGTCACATTATCCTTTTTCCCTGTTTGCTAAGACTGAAAACCATCTGTTGGAGTACACCTCATTTTGAAGTATTCTGTAAAGTCTCCTTTTCTTTTTCACATAGTTGTTCCTAAACTTAATCTGCACATGAAACGCTTCATCTATGAAACTCAAACATCCCCATGTAGGAGAAGGAAGGGAAAGGCATTTGTGGACGTGGAGGCACCGTGCTTTCAGCGTCGACCTGTTTTCAAAAACATCTCTCATCCTATTCACTCCTGTTGGTCTCTGGGACATCATCTTAGAGTCAGACAGGTAAGGGCTTCCGGGTCCCAGGAAAATGTCCATCTGTAAATCAGCCAGTCAACTTTAAAGGGCGGTTACAAATAACAATGGGATTAACACTGACGATGTAAACTATTGTCTGGTCATCAGCACCTAGTATCAGCTACACGGCCCAAAGCTAAGGTTCCGGATCTAGCATGTTTCAGTATCCTCTGCCATCGGAAAGATGACGCTGACAAACAAAAGCTTTCACAGACGAGAACAAGCAGAACTCCTCTCTTCGCGTTGTTGAGGACCGTACCTACTAAATACACTACTTCGCTGTTGTTTCATTTTAGAGAGGCATTCCCACTCCTCTTAACGAGCTTTCTTACACATCCCTTGGGATTCTTATTTGTTTGGAATGTTAATATGCTCCGACTGTTTCAGTACATTCAAATTAGCAAGTTTAAAGAAAACAAAGTCCTACTAATGAACTAAGAAAAATATTAGACGTGGTATGTTTGCAGCTTTACACGTCAGAATTCTAATGCCATTACCAAAATACGTGAGTCTTGCTCAGAGCTCGGGTTGTCCCAGGGCCCATTCAAGATGGCACGAGACTGACTCTTGTGAAACTAAAGATGTCCTCCTCCTCTAACCCAGCCCCCAGACCCAGGCACCACTGGCCGGCGCTCAACTCACTCTGCAATTTTATCAAGAAGGGGAAACTCTCTGATTCGTGTGCAGCAGTGGCATGCGGTAAATTTAATTCTGGCCGGTCTGTGTAAATATAAATAACGCGGCTATTTTCACGCCACAATGAAAGAATGCAACAGAAAACGAAGGAGGAACAAACAAATGATAAGATGAGCTCTTTTTTACGAAGCAGTAGAAAGTATCTCATCAAATAGCACGCATGCCTGGTTCCTTAAAGTAGCAGTTACATTCCTAAACCAAAATACTCCAATCATATTAATAGGGCGGCTTAAAAAATAATCTGGACAAGATCCTGTTGGGGAAATATCCACCCTCGCTTCTGCTCCGATCAGTACTTTCATGGTATTTATTACACAGCCACAGGGTGGAGATGCATCAATTTTTAAATCTTTAGTCAGGATTGGAGACTTATGGCAGGTTCTGGGGGAATGTTTCATTAAGACCCCGTCTAAAGTTCCTTTGGTGACTCGTTGCTGGGTCAGCGCGCCGCGCGGCCCAGGGTCCGGAGCTCCTGCCCCTTTGTTACGCAGTGGACCCCGCCGGCAGGCCCGGCCCCACGCCCACGGGCACCTCTGGGCTTCCAGAAACAGCCCCGGAGTCCACACGGGCTCCGACCGCCGAGCCGGGGTCTGGTCACACGGGCAGGACACTACACCCACGCGGGGATGCCCGGGGCCGGCGCCCTCCAGCACCTCCCACCCAAACACCCGCGGTGCCCCCGGCCCGGACCGGATCAGGTGTGAACACTTATGTAATCGTCCTCGGGGGCCACGCCTTTCCCACCGCCCCACCTCCGCCAGAACAAAGTGAAGTTTAAAATAGAAACCAATTACCTGGCCTCAAACGCGCCTCGGGCCCCGGAGCGCGGTCCCGCCGGCCGCAGACCCCCGCCCCCGCCAGGCTCCCACCCCCGGCCCCGAGTAGACCCCTGCCCCGACCCCACGCAGACCTCCGTCCCGGCCAGGCCCCCACCCCCGGGCCCCGCGCAGAGCTCCGGCCAGGCCCCCACCCCCCGGCCCCGCGCAGACCCCCGCCGCGGCCGGGCCGCCCCCCCCCCGGCCCCGAGCAGACCCTGCCCGGGCCCCTGCACAGACCCCCGCACAGACCCCCGCAGCGGCCAGGCCCCGGCTCCCCGACTCCCCGGTCCCGCCGCTCCATCCCCTGGCCCCCTCCCTCTTGCCCCCTCCCTCCGCAGTTGGTCCCGCCCCCACCCCCCCGGCCCGCACGGACCCACGCCTTTGTTACGGTGCGAAGTTGGGCCGTGGGTCCCGGTCTCTTTCACTTCTTGGGTTACAGTGCAGGCGTGTGACGTCCGCTCCACATGACGGGGGCGGGGGGCGGGCGCCAGGGGCGGGGGCGCGGGCAGGGCCCTCCCCCCCCTCTCGGCGCTGCCCGCCCCGCCCACGGCCCGCCCCCTGGAAGCCCAGCAACCAGCGGCCACCGCCCCGCCCCCGCCCCCGGGGCGGGCAGGTAAATCCCCCCGCCCCCCAGCAGCACCCGCGCCCAGCGCCGCACCGCAGGAGATACAGAAATAGGGATGATTTAATCCAGCGACACCTCCCCAGCGCTGCCCATTCCTCGATCCGTCAGATCGCTGAGATGGGGTAGAAAAGGGGCGAACTTGGGTGTGGAGGGCGGAAAAGGCCCGAGCGGTAGGTGCGGGGCCGGACACCACCTTGTAACCTAGTTGTGTTCTTGCAGCGTAGGACGAAGGTCGCCTGGGGTCGCCCATGGACCCTCCGGGTGACCTCGGTGCGGCCCGGCAGCCGGGCACACCGTGCGTGGACGAGGCCGGGGCGCGGGGTCTCTCCCAGGGGTCTCCCTGCAGGGGTCTCCCGGAGGGAGTGGTACACGTGGGTCTCTAAAGCGACCACTGCAGCAGCACCATCCATCCCCGAGTGCAGCAGCACAGCAACTCCAGCAGTGAAACTGAGATGCTACCTGGCCAGGTCTGGCCCATATACTTCCACACGCACTAGCGATATTCCTAGGGAGGCTGGTGCCAGATTAAGCCAGTACGAAACGTGAGGCGGCCCGTGACGCACTCCGCGCGTGAATGTGCCCATTGTGCAGGGGAGACGCGGCCAGCGCTCCGCATTCATAAGTCGGTGGGCAGCAGAACTTTCACCGACCGTGAGCAAGTCACATTCTAGAATTTGCCATGGACTAAGTAGCAACTTCCAGTGAAAAAATAAAATTTGAAGTTGGAAGGTACATGCTGTCCTTCTCTTTTCTACGGAGTTAACACCAGTGTCAACAATTCTCGTTCTCTGTACGTTTTGCGCCTGGCGAGTGGGCTCCAACACCCAGGGACCCCAGCGCGCTAGGGCGCGCCTGCCGCGTGGGAACGAGAGGAACAACACCGCACATTTCGATTTCCCAATTGTTGGGAAGCATAATCACATCACTCCCCTTTTCTTCCCCTTCAGCAGGTTTCGACTTGAATCCGAAAGCGCCTCTTGTGCCCATTCTTTGCAGGAGGACACTCGGAGGAGCCAGCGTCTCTATTTAGACTGCCGTGTGCCTATCTAGCTGCAGACTCGGGTAAAAGCGTGTCCACGTCTACGGCATACAGCTGTGCAAAGCAGAAGCCTGCGGATGCGCGGGGCTGGTCGGACTTAGTGTGCAGACACATGGGCGCATGCACGCGCGCGCGCGCACACACACTCACACCCCAAATTACCTCCGGAATGGAGAAAGCCGCTGCGGATTGGCCGACAGAGCCGTCAGTCACACCCAGGGGGCAGGGAGATTTTGCAAGGCTGTTTCCTTCCCCCCCCCTCCCCACCCCCCCGTTTCATTTAATGGTAAAACAACAGCAGAGCTCTGAAAGTTAGCCATCTGCGCCGAGAGAGTTTGGCTTCTTTAACGAGGGGGATGTCAGACAGTATCCATTTAGGTATATTTTGTACTTCCACAGTGGATGAAAAGGGAAATTAGCAATCCGGGGTGGGGGCGGAGACGGAGCTGGGAGTAAGGATAGAGGGGGTCATCCGGGAGGGGTAGACGCAGGGTGAAGAGCTGTTCTCAATACCCAAAAGGGACTTTGACCTTTCATTGATCTCGAAATTAAAAAATGTTTTTCACAGGTCAGGTTATTAACAAACGCCTGTCCTAATTTATGAACTCATTATTTTAATTTTATTATTTAAGCATGAGCCAGCAATCGTGTTTCCTTAAGAAAGAACTGACCTAATTTTGGCTGGAGATAAACGATCATGTTAACAGATGTTAATCTTGTAATCTGTTTTTCCTGTAAGCACTTTACATACCCGGGTTTCAGACCTTAAAAATAACATCTTTTCCAAAAAGACCTGACGTCACAATTCACTCCCTGAAAAATCACTCCCCTCTCCAGTTTTTTTCCTCTGCAATGATTTCAAAGACATTAAATCTTTTTCACTTTATAAATGCTGATTTGTTCTGCCTCAACTCCCACAGGCTTTTATTTGCATTTCAAATTCCACAGGTTACACCAGCCGCCTTTTCAAAAAATGTAAACCAACAATGAAGCTGCAAATGGCTTTTTGTGCATCTGGATTAAATAAGGCACAGAATGAATATACTTAAAAAGAGGGCTGAGCAAGTTGATCTTTGCACACCCGGAGACCAAGCAGTTCTTTATCAATAAGCCCAGCGGAATGAGTAAGATACAGACACACGAGCCAGAAGCTCCTGGTCTGATCCCGGTCTGCTGCGGGGTGCTTATTAACGCTGATAATAAATGAGACCAACTTACAGACCCACATTTTTCGGGCAAAAGGCTGGGTTTCTCTGGTTCCTAATAGCAGGGGTCCACTGGCTTCCCAGCCCACCACGGCTGATTTCTATCGCACACTAACCTTCGTCCATAAACCGCTGCTTTAAATACCCAACTCGGCTGGCTTTTAACAAACTTATTCACACAAAGTTTCTTTAAAACTTGACGAGGCGGTTTAATCTAAATACTGATCCTAACTATTCAGTACGTTCTCCCTGGAAATGGCAGACAAGGCGCTTTTCTACCACCACCCCCACCCCACCCCCCAAACACACACACACACCCCACTGCATTCTTCTTTTCTTGCATATACCCGGGTATATATCGCGATCAATACCTCCCCTACCCCCACCCCCAACCCCGCCAGGCTGCGCGCATCTCCGAGGAGTCTCTGACACCCAGACCCCCTCTCCCCACCCCTCTCGGAGTCATTGCGAGAACCCTCGCCCCCCACCCCCACCCCTGCCCTAACTTCCCTTCCAGGCGCTCTCACTTCTGTAATGTTATGGTCACTTACACGCTCCCAGCTGATGGGCATTCAGCCAGGGGAGGGGGGAGGAAAAACAATCCCCCCCCTCCCCCACGCAAACACGTCCCCGAGGCAGCCGCGCTCGGAGCCCACAGGCATCGATCCCATCAGCCAAACCCTTAATAATTGAAGCGGCTCCTCGGGCCCCGCAGCCCCATCACCCACCTTCATTAGCCGAAGCGTTTTACTTTAAAGTAAGGCAATTTGCTCTTTGTCTCCTAATGGATGGAGAGCACATCCGAGCTCCCCTCCTCCCGCGTCGCCTTTGACGAAGTGTACACTGCCAGAGCCTCTTCCGCGCTCCCACCCCGGCCCCCACCCCGCCCCTCCACTGCGGTAAAAACCACCTCCCGGACGCTCGCCTCGCCGCCCGAAGTTGCATCTTCCCTCTCCTGGAATTGCGGAGCGGAGCAACTACCAACAGGGAAAGCCAAGCCCCCCTCCCCGCGCCGGGGAGCCCCTCCCCAGCGCCCCCCACCCCCGCGGCGCACACCGGGGGTTCACGACACGTCCAGGCCCGGATCTCCGCGCCCCTGACCCCACGGCCCCGCGCCGCCCCCCACCCCAGCCCCTACCTTGGGGAAGAGGCAGCGGGCCCGGGGAGGAGGACGCGCACGCCCCGCGCCTCTGAAGGTGAAGCCAAGCGCCCGAGGCGCGGAGCCGAGCGCTGCACTAGACCGACCGCGCCAGCTGCGCCCGGGCGCGGGGGACGCGCGAGGGCGCGCGGGGCCCGCCACGCGCCCGGCCCCCTCCCCGCGCCGCCCGCGCGCGCCCCGGACGCGCCCGCCCCGCGGGGACCCCGGCGCCGGCTGGGCTCGAGGGGCTGCTCCGCGCCGGGAGGGGGCCAGGCCCCCGCGGCCGGGTGCAGGCCCCAGGCTTCCCCCAGCCCCGGAATGGTCTGCCCTGTAGGAAACGCACACGCTCCACTATTGTCTCATCAGCACAAAGTTCTGCCACACTGCGGGGAAAGTCTGGAGGCTCACGATGACTCAGACACAGATAATTCTTCCCCTAATAGCACTGAATCACGATCCCAGCGGCTAGTGTCACCCCTTTTCTCAAGGACTAACGCTGCCGCAGATCCAGTTACGGGAAGCTGTTTACGCACACACGGATACACACGCACGCATCCATACGTGCAGACGTGTTGGGGATGCATTTTCAGCCGACTTAAGCACCTGAGCACTAAGCCTCGAGTCCAGATTTCTACGTGGGTGTCTTTCCGGGGGTCCCAGATGCCCGTGCGTTACAAACGGCTTAGGGTGTGCGTTCACTTAACTTCCTGGTAAATACGTTTGGGGGTATTCAGACGCAGAGTATCAATAGATTAAGTCCTGAATCAAGATCAAAGAGGTTCCCCTGGAGAGACTTCAGAACAGGGATTCTGCTGTAGGGCAATTTAAAAGTGACTGTTGTTTTTTCTTTGTATTTTTATCCCTGAAAAGTTCAACTCTAATTTTCCTTTTTCAAACTCCATGTCTTCACCCCAGCTACTCTCCGTGGGCCGTAGTTAGTTGCATTGAGTCTAGAAAGAGTAAATCCCAATTTGACTCCAAATAGCATTAAATGGTGCATGGGGGGGCGGGGGGGGCGGTAGGGGGTGGAGGGAAAAGAGGAGAGGAGTGAGAGTGGGGAAGGTTAGAGGGAGGGGGAGTGAGCCCCTGAATCGGTGATGACGTAGACCGAGGGAGCTGTGGCCTGCGGAGGGGTAACGCTGTCTTCTCCCACCAGACTCCTGGCCATGTTGTTCCCTCCTCGTGATAACTCCGCAGTGGAGATGGATTCCGTCCAAGACACCGACGTAGCTCTGCTGAACGATCAGCGCCGCAGTCCAGGCGTTACCTTCCGCTGTGGCATTTCTCTCGGTGCCTAACATTCGCTAACGTTCACTGCTGATGCAGCCGGGGCCTCTCCAACTTATGGCGTTTACAACAGAAACTACTACAGAAGAGCTCAAGGGAGGAGCTTGTGCCTGCAAAGCTGGACTCTTAGACACAGGGGCCATTCTGCACGTGTGTGATGTGTGTGTGATGTATGTCTGTGTGCATGCGTGCGGTATGCGTGTTTTTCGATGGAGGAACGGGGGAGTAGAGAGACAAGGAGCAAGAGGGGTGAGAACCTTTGCAAGAAGGATCTGCGAATCATAAAATGCATAGAATGTAAGCTCCTTGTGATTAATGATCTGCACTAATTTGGATAGCAGGCATGGTAAAGGTCATTGACAATTGTTGCTGGTTTCAGCATGAATGCCTAAGCGGGATGTATTCTTGAACAATCAAAATTAAGTCATTCACGGAAAAGAAGTGCCCACAATTCATTTCAGTACACAGTAAAAATGCACAAATAAAAGTATCCCCCAATTCAACTAATTACATGGATATAACTTGCATATATAGACACAGATATCTGTGTAGACAGATATATTATCACATATGTGAGTACTCACCCACAAAGATTAAAATTCACATACTTGAAATTTTCATAGTTTTTCTGTAGCATTTTGGAATGGATTTGAGTCAATGGTAAAAACTTGCTACATTCATCTACATTCTTGGGTCCATTTAAGACTACAGTATTGCACTAATAACTTCCATGTGTTGAAAATTAACTTAGATCAATGAACAGTGAGCAAAACTTCCAAACTCCTCCATGTAAACTTGTGATTTTCATGACTTGCCTCCTTTCTCTGACCTGCTTATCGCCCACACGTGGTTTCACTCAGGACTATGCCTGTTCCACGAAGATGCTATGCTTTAAGAGATTTCCTTTCTTCCACGCTTTGCTACAAGGCATGCACACTCTGAGAACGTAATTTGAGAGATGGGCAAGGGTTACATTCTGGAAAATGGCAGCTTGAAGGCCATCCCGGTTTTGTTACTGGTGAGAGTGCCATTCATGACAGGAGAAATGTGTTTACATTATTTGTACACAAAGTCACTGGTAGTTGTTTGTCAATGCACTATCATTAGCTTGTTCCAGGGGAAAAAATACTATAAAAACAAAATATTTAACGAGTTCCCATACTTTTCCTATAACATATTTAGCATTGCCAAAATTTCAACTGTTTACTATCTTGAAACACTGAAAGTAGACATTAAAGATTAAGGGCACAGTTTCTGCACAAAACACAAATTCCTGAAATCCCCCAGGAGAGCTTGTCCTATTTTGAAATGTTTAGGTAAATTACAATATTTGGGTGGAGAAAAATCAGCGGTTAATGGATTAATGGTTAAACACATATTTGGCTATTTATAACAGACAATAATTCTGGCTAATGAAATAGATTGAATGAGAAAATATATTTTCCCTAGTTACCGTCTAATGAATTATTTGTTCAGCATTTGAGACTCTGCTCCTTCAAAAGCTACGGAAAATGGCATTTTAGTGAAACAGGGTTCAGTGTCTTGTCTGCATAACTTAGGTGATGGCCTGATTGCTGGACGTTTAGATAAGAAGGGTTCTGAGGGGTCGCATTAAAGAATAGCTAAGAGTAAAAAACAAAAAGAACCCCCCAAAAGGCCCCGTCTATCTGAAAGCTGGAAGTGAAACTCTGTGGTATGAAATCCAAGACAAACTAAAAAATATTTATTAAATATACATGTTTAACAATTTAAGTGCACTACTTATTAGTAAATATTTAATATTAATTATATCTCTTTGTAAATTTATTAGGATTTTCAGAATTGTATCTGAGAAAGGAGAATGAAATTATCCACCTAAATCTAGGGGTAATCTTTAGCTCTCTGAACTGACTTAAACTGACAGATTTCAGAGTGGATTAGGGATAAATTTGAATTAAATTGTCAACAAGTATTCCTAGGTAAAGACTCTTTTTAGGACAGTACAGCTGCCAGCTGCCTTCATATTGTTCGGAGCAGTAACCATTTCATGTGTACATGGAAATTGGCTATTTATTTCACCACCAATGGTTTCGAAAGTATTACCTCAATCCTAACTTGCTTTTCTTTTCTACAATCTTTCCTTCTCACAGAACGTGGGCACTCAGAGAATACACTGTGTTCAGACGATGGAGCAAGGGAAAGCGTGTCATCAGCAGGAGCGCTCACTACGGAATTTAACATATGGCGAACCCTGCGCGGCGGGAGACAAACTTGGGATTATATTTTAAGTAGTTTTCTACAAAATGGCTGCAGACGGCTTGAATCTGAAGTTAACTAACAAAATATTTTTAATCTGGGTGTAGGAAACTATCTCAGTCCTGCTCCTTAAATTTCATTTCTATTGAAGGTGATGACTAGCATCTCTCATACACACACACGCTTACTTCTAACGTGATCTGCGGACATTCCCCCCTGTTTACACTAAGATAACTTCTTACCGAGCAGCTTTCTCTGCCGCGGGCTTTTATCTGCAGGATAATGTAGGCTCAGACTGGCCGTGCTCTAGGCTTGTTTATTCATGGTTGAGACCTGCATGTTGTTGGAAAGACTTTGGTGAAGATTTCTTCTCTCTCCGTAGTAGCCAAGTCTGGAGTTGGCCTTCAACAGATAGCCACACCTGAATTTTTAGATAGTTTAATAATCAGCGAAGCATCTCTTCAAGATTCTGTGCAAAATATACCCATATGTGTGATACAGAGAATGCCTGACTCATTTTTCCCCACAGCAGAAAACTTAACAACTTTCCCAGGGAATCAGCATTTTTAACGATCTGTGCTTGTTTTCTGCTCATAGGAAAACTTTGAGATGACCCATAATACAGTTCTTATTGCAATGTAGATTTTCTTTTACTGATGGTTGGTGTGCATATGTTTTGGTTAACGACAAAGATGTCAATAAGGTTGGGTCACAGAGTTAGTGCAGATCCGAAATTGAGGCAAAAGTATGGAGAATATACTAACAGTCGGAGGGATCGCAGGCACATTTTCTCGGCGTTTGTAGCTTTAGGTAACTGCGTCAGGCCTTCACAGCAGGTACAGGGCCCTCAAATCTGCTCTTCATTTCAATTTAAGTCAAAGACTCTGGGCAACAGCTGGCTGCAGAATAGCTGATGGAGAACTCCACAGATGTGGTTCATAATGGTTTGAAGAATAAGAAGAAGTGGGCCATAGAGCAGACTTCATTTAAGGAAAGACGAATTCAAGGATTCCTCTTTTGGAAGATTTCCCAAGTTGGGGAAGAGAGGGACTGGTTTCGCATCACCTTTTCTTCGAGTCCTACAGTATGTTAATCACTTAGCAGATACGTTGTGACCTATTATCACCCCACATGCCTACAACAGCAAAACCATTGACTTCTTCTGCCCCCAAATCTCATTATGTTTCACCAGGCATAACTGATTACATGTGCATGTTTATGCAAACTTTCCTAAGAGAACTGAAAACAAAATAAGGGAACCAGCAATCTCTCTCTTTCACTGTGGGTCGGCTACACACACTTGTAATGAAACTGAGCAGGGAAGAAATACTCAGAGACCTTTGCAGATCTTGTGTGACGCATACATAAGACAGTTTGAAGGAAAGTAGAATTGGGCATTTAGGAGGGTCAATGGTTAGAAGTGGTCAGGCTATGAATGAGTAGTTGTCATAATTAAGGACTCAAGACATTTTGTTGATGAGGAAGGCTAGGTGCATTTTTTCCCGCTGATTTTTTTATTGTGGTAAACTGTACACAGCATAAAATTTGCCACTTTAACCATTTTAAGTGTGCACTTCAGTGCTGGTGAGTACGTTCACAATGTTGTGCGAGCATCACCGCCATCCATCTCCAGAACTCTTATCATCCTGTAAAACTGAAACTCCACAACCGCGAAAGAACAACCCCCAATTCCCACCCCCCAGCCCCAGGCGACCACCCTACCTTCTGTCTCTATCAATCTGACTGCTGTAGGGACCTCATATAAGTGGGATCATACAGTACTTGTCCATTTGTGTCTGGCTTATTTCACTTAGCGTGTTTTCAAAGTTCATCGATGCTGTAACATGTAGCTAGGTACGATTTTGTCGCCTTTAAAAAAGATGCAGAGGTTATAGATAAAGGACTTCACCATTATACAAATGGCAGTGGGCATTGCCAATAATATAAAGAACTTTGCCAAATCAACTGATTAACGAAGTGACTATAAACTCAACAAAAACGATCCTCGAGTTTTTCTTCTCTTACCTAAAATGATCCCCTTCTCTAGCTGTTTTCACCTGTCTTCGCCTCCTTCTAAGCCTCAGACGAAATGTTTGAGACAGCCCATCTTCCCAAATGGAGACCAGCGTGGCTGGAAGAGCATGGAGCACACCTGAAGCCAGATTTGGATTAAATACTCTCCAGTTAGTATTTTCAGAGCTTGTTGATGCCTTATAACCAGACTACTTCTGCCTAAAATGGAGGAGGCATATTAGAAAGATCAGAAAATTAAAAATTAAAATCAATAAAATGGAACAGAGAAGTTGATGTATGAGGCTCCCGAGGTGGGTTAATTAATGCAGCCAGGCACCAAGTAACCCCAAGCTGCCGGCCCCAAGGAAAACCTTCGGTTAAGAGAATTTACCTTTCTAGAAGAGGACTGGCCTGGGACACGTGCATCTCCGGGGGCTCATGCTGCGCTGCGCACAGCCTGCCGTTTTAGAACGGATGGAGGTGTTTCAATGTGCCCCAAATAGATATTAAACCAATGGCGTCCAATTAAACTTGGGGCACCGAAATGGAATTTCTGGAAGAGACAAATAGTTTGCTCTCTTATTGGGTCACTAAATTGTACTAATTGAGTCACTAAAAAGCAGTCTTCTTTGTGCTTTTGTTTTTAATTGCAGCATTGTGGTAACAGTGATCAGTGGAAAATGTGAGGAAGATTAGATTAAACATTAAATATTAGCTGCAACATTTCACAGACTGAAAGTTTAAAGTGTCTCAGATAGGCAGTGATCACTTAAAGCACATAACGATCAAAGTTTAACAAAATTTTTATATCTTAATTTTTCACATCTGTATGTTCATTCATTCATCATTCATTCATTCCACACTGACTGCTCCAAGCCAGGCACTAGGCTAAGTGCTAATTTTAAAAGTAATATTTATTGTATGCTTATTATGTAGGAAACCTTCCTAGAGCTTACATTTTACGTCATTGAGTCCTGACAATCATCCCACGAGGTAGGGACCACTATCACCCCATTTGACAGATGCTGACAGACAGGCTGGGCATTCCCAACCCTGTCCAGCCCACAGAGCTGGCGAGCACCAGGGATGGCGGGGGGGAAGACAGTAGCTTCCAAGCACAGCCTGGACCACGTCACTGACCCTTACCTCAATCCACCCACCAGCCAGAGCACCAGGGCCTCGGCCATTTTAAAAATAATCCTTTAGATGAACAAAGCCAAATCTGTGTTTTTTCATACTAGTTTTAGGAACCTGTCACAAACTCTCGTACCCAGTTCTCATTCTGCTTATTAGTGGCTTGCACTTGTGTAAGTTACGCCACATCCTCTGGATGCGCACCGTTTGTGTCACTCAAGTTGGCATTGGTCACTTACCACAAAGCACTGTTAGTCTTCTGTACCCGTAACGTGTGTCCCATATTTGTGCAGGAAGACCCAATAACTGGGGGACAGAGAATTCCTATGAAAATCTTTTTCAGTTTCTCAAAGGATTTGAACTGAATATATAAAATACAACAGAACAGCATAGCAGTGGGAGGAATTAGCTCAGGAAAAATAGGAGTAGAAAAATAATAAAATCAGGGTCAAGATAGGCTTAGCCAGGCTTGAGATCGGCACACACTGATGCACGGCTAGTGACCCTCT